GGTAATTCTGCGTCAGTATACCTGGCCTCCTTTGTAGTGGGCTGCATTTCATCTTCTACACCCACATGCTGTTTCAGAGGTGGTTCCCTGGGCTCCCCCAGAGGGCCTAGAGGTCCAGACAGTGCAGACCCCACGCGCAAGGCCTGCCAATGGAGAACATCCACCTCTGCGCGACAGAGGACCAGGGTGCTAACATTCTGATGGGCATCCGGGCTTTTACTGCTAAGGAAGGAGAAGTGGATGCTGGGAGGCCCCGGCTCAGATTCACGGATGGAGGAGCTGAACAGATGCTGCGAGGTGGTGACGAGAACAGGCATTGTCGCCGTGTGTGATGAGGGTGACGTGGCTCGTGGTGGCATTTCTCAGCCTTGCCTTCAGAGAGGAGATGATCATGGGGCCTGTGGGGTGGGAGCACCGGGAGCTGCTGTGTTCCACAGTTCAATCCTTTGCCTGCCACCATGCTGCTGCTGTCTGTCCAGCTGTGTTTTTCACCGAATTGCTTAAGAAAATGGGGTGCTCACCATCCACCGCTGTCCACTCACTGTGGCCTTCCAGGCAGGGTACACCTGCTCCCCAGGCCTTGGAGGCTGCAGACCACTACAGGAGCGGCTGATGGGTTTGAACTGCTGACATTGCAGTTAGCGGCCCTAATGCTTTGCTCACAGTGCCACATAAAAGGAGGTCGCCTGACATAAAAGGAGACTGCATGTGCCGTCACTGTAGATGGAGACCCAGTGTTTGCTGACTCCAACGGCAGTCGCTGCCTTGGACAAGGCTGAGTTCTGTGACACTGCTGCCTGTCCAGGGTCTCACCCAAGACCACGTGCTTGTTAGGAAGGAGAGGGGAGGGTGTGTCTGAGGGTCACACTTGGCCTTTTTCTCCAGGAGGAGCCAGAGGATTAGAGAAGTGGGAGGGAACCGTGCCTTCTATGACGTTGTTATTCCGTATTCTCCCACCTTACATATATACGGATTACGCTTTGGTTGGGGTGGACAAGACTTAGGCTTAGTTTTTGTGTGCAGTTATTAAAAAACAAATGTCCCCAATCCATGGCTGGTGAGTTGATTCCGCCTTACAGCGCCCCCATGTCTACTGGAGCAGAAGTACACTCCAGAGCATGTCCAGGCAGGGACCTGCAGGGTCTCCCTCTCAGGATGCCGTGGGTGGATTCAAATAGCCAACCTGAACTGAGCTCTTACCTCTTCACACCACCTAAACCTAAACCCCAGCCCAACTCAACCCACTGCTGTCCACTTGGTTCTGACTCATAACAACCCTATGGGAAGTGCAGAACTGCTCCCTAGGGTTTCCAAGGCTATGAGTCTCTATGGGAGCAGAAAGCCTCATCTTTCTCCTGAGGAGTGGCTGGAGGTTTTGAACTGCTGACCTTGCAGTTAGCAGCCCAACTCATATGTGCTGTACCATCAGATTCCGCTACTATCTACTCTGAAGACCTCCTGGTTTGGTCTCAGTTACATTAAAAAAAAATCATTATATTGGGGGCTTATACAGTTCTTATCACAATTCATCCCTCCATCCATTGTGTCGAGCACATTTGTACATATGTTGCCATCATCATTCTCAAAACATTTTCTTTCTACTTGAGCCCTTGGTATCAGCTCCTCATTTCCCCACCTTCCTTCTCCACCCTCCCTCCCTCATGAACCTTTGATAATTTAGAAATTATTATTTTTTTCATGTCTTACACTGACTG